GTGGGAGCTGATGGGAGCAGCATCCTGCTCCATGGGCTCTCCCAGATCTGGGTGCTCCTTCCCACCCATTGTTTGAGGTACTGGGTAGACTGGTGACTCCTGGAGTCTCCTGCTTCTTGAGTCTCATCCAGCGCTGACCTTCCCATCAGGGTGCTGGCTTCCCAACCTTTAATACATCTATTTCTTGGTCAGCTACTGGAAGCAACAGCCATTATCCCTGGGATTTTATAGATGAGTTCAGGACTGTGTCCTCATCCTGTTCCCTCTCCCCATAACCCCACCCAATTGGGAGTCTGTTCTCTCTGTTCTAAAGATGCTGATCAGAACATTCAGGATGGGGTGACCCTGTATGGGAGTGGATGGGGGGACTTTCCATCTAGAGAGTTTTTTTAAAAAGGTTTATTTATTTTTGCAGACAAGAACTGGGGTACAGGCCGGAAGTGGGGGGGTGATGAGAGGAGTCAACAGAGACAGAGTGGGAGCAGAACAGGCAGATGGACTGAAAACACTGCTGAGGGGAGCAGCGGGCGAGACAGGAGAGGTCTGCTGCACCATACGGATGCTCCCTGAAAGGGGATAGAACTTGTGCTGCAGTGGCTGTGGATAGCTTCATAGTGCTGTGCTGTGCTTAACCCCTTGTGCCACCAGGGAGGCCCCTTCCAGAGAGTTTTTATCTCTAGAAATACTACATCTGAGAAGGATGGGCCAATTCTACTCTGAACTGGTGTGATGTCCATATGATGTCCTGCACCACCAGGGAGGCTAGAACTTACATTTTCTAGCAACATTCTTGAGGCAACCATCTAATGAGTTTGCCTCTGATATGAACCCTTCCCCAGTGCACCTCCAGTCTCCCCCACCCCCAGCAGGGTCTGCGCTGGGTCCTGCAAGGAAGGTTGGTGATGCTGGTGGAGGAAGATCTGAGCCTCGTGAGCCTGAGTCACACACCCTTTTCCTGACCAGGGGGTTTGTACATGTCCCAGCCACAGACCCTGAGACACAGAGAGGGGGTCATGGGGGACCTAGGGACCAGGTGTGGGAGGCTCCTCCTGAGACTCATATTGATTCTCCCGGGGACTTATTTGTATACAGTGAGGATCATATAGTCTTTTTTTTTTTTTTAAGATTTTTTTATTTATTTATACAAGCACTGGGTACAGTCAGAAGCACGGGAGGGTGAGAGAATTCACCAGAGCCAGAGTGGGGAACAGAGCAGGCAGAAGGACCGAAGTACACTGCTGAGGGGAGCAGCGGGCGGCAGGAGAGGTCTGCGTGCCATGCGGGACCCTCCTCTGTTGGCCGGGGAGCAGCCAGGGATCGAACTGGCACTGCAGAGGTGGCAGGCAGCTTTGTAACCCAGCGCTCAACTGCTGCGCCACGGGGGAGGCCCCGGGTGATTGTGTTTTTAAGAGAAAATTAGGAGGATCCCAGGGATCCCAGCCCTGGTCAGACATCCCTCAATGAGTGCAGAATTCTGCCTGTCTACTCTCTTGGGAACCACCTTCCCTGAGCCATGAGGCCCCTTGGCACCCAGCAGGGCTCCCGAGCAGCTAACAGCAGGTGCTAACTCTGTAAGAAGATTTGGGGAAGCACTGAAACTTCTTAAGTTCGAAAGGACGCCCTGGAAGCCCCACCATTTCAAAATAGGTATGTCAGTTTTGAAGACATGTTTCTTTTAAGAACACAAAGTGGGTAGCAGCAGATTGTAAGGAGGGGTTGAGAAGGAAATGGGGCTTGGGTGGGATGGGAGGTGGCACAGGAAATGGTGCAGCTCTAAGAGGACCCAGCACAACCTCACTGAAGCTTGTGCTTCACTTATTTTAATAATGTGTCTGTAACATCCTGGGGCAGGACCCTGTTCTAGAATTTTAGGTAGTGACTTCCAATATAATTCATGTAATTCTCATTCCAACCTTTCTTGGGAGATGCTGATACTATTCCCATTTTCCTGTGGGGAAAGTGAGGCAGGAAGGTTAAGAGACTTGATGAAGATGGTCACACAGAGAGTGGCTGAGTCTAGAGTCAGCCCCAGAATCTGCCCTCCCAGGACCATGACCTACCTCCCCCCAACTCCAGCAGTATGTGATTTGAGGGTGTTTTCTCTGACCAGGTCTCATCTTCTCTTCTCTGCTGTTCTGTCTCACTGGGTCCCTCACGATGAGGCAGAAATCCCAACAGAGTCAAAGAAAAGAGGAAGAGGCCCTCAGTGGGGATCTGACATGGCTACTGCTGTGTTTGGGGCAGGACCTTGTCTTTGGCCCTGGCAGGTCAGGGCTGGGAGGGACTGACCTTCAGGTGAGCTGGAAAAGCAGACAGAAAAGGACAGGGGCCTGTGGGGGAACCCTTACCCCTTGGGGACAATGTCGTGTGTCCTGAGGCTTCTCAGGGACACCTGCTCACACTGAGGGGGACAGGACCACAAGCAGGCACAGGCCTGTCCTTCATGGGGCCAGGGTTTGGGTGTGATGATGGGGAGGGAGGGGAGTTTGCACCCCGGGCCCTGGTGCTGGGAGTGGAGGGGCCTGGTGCTCTGAGCAGAGCAAGTCTGGGGTTTGGGTTCCACACTGTATGAAGGGAAGGGATGATGTTTTTCTCCAATAAGCCTCATGGTCTCTAGCAGCACAGAGGCTCAGAGGCCCCAAGAGGAGCCATGTCTGTCCTCCTTGATCTCTGGGACTAAGGAGTCACTAGGAAGTGTCCTGCTCCTCCTAGTGGGGGTCCCTGGGCCCTGCTCCACACTGAGCCCAGACCTCCTGGCTGCCCTGCTCCTCTGTGTGGCCTCCTGGCTGCCTCCTGCCCTGACTCTCCCCAGCCCTAAGGAGATGTCACCCTGCTCCTGCCCCAGCTCTGTGCTCTGCCTCCTCCGCTCCATGCTGCTCCTCCTCCAGCTGCCTCCTGGGGGGGTCCCAAGGTGAGTGTGTCCCTCCCTGTCCTGAGTCTCCCTCAAGTGGGTGGGGCCCAGGGGCTCTGGGAGCTCCTTCTTCAGGAATTGTGTTTGCTCATTTGTCTTAGCATAATGTCTTCAAGTTCCATCCATGTTGTTTGAAATGGCATGATTTTACTTTTAAAAAAAAAAAATCTGTGGGTCATCCTGGTGGTGCAAGGGGTTAAGTCTCAGCATTATCAAGCTATCACCAGCCACTGCAGCAGGAGTTTGATCCCTGGCCTTGGAGCTGATCCACATCTCGTAGCAGACTCTCCTGTCTTGCCAGCTGCTCCCCTCAGCAATCTGTTTCTGTCAGGTTGCCTATTCTGCTCCCCACTCTGTCTCTGGTGAATCCCCTCAGCCCTTGCACCTCTGGCTTACACCCCAGCTCTTGTATGTATACACAAATTAAAATAAATCTTTTTAAAAAAATCTGAATACTATTTCATGATGTGTATGTGCATGTATATATGTAATACTACTCTTTCTTTGAATGAATCTCTGTTCCTGTCTCTCTTCAAATTGTGGAATATCCATTATGCTTATGTTGCCTTTCCTCATAGATTGGTTAGTTCTTCCAGTTTTTCTTCATTTTTCTCTTTTTTCTTCTATTTTGGTCCATTGTTCATTATTACCATCAGGTCACAGAATTGATTTTCCATTTGGTCAATTCTGCTCCAATAGCTTCTCCAGGAGAAGCCCCCATCTTTTTACAGTCCCCATCTCTGTGGTTTTAATTTAAGGCTTCTATTTATATTTTCTTTTCACTCATTTTATTTTCCAGGTCATTCATTTATTATTCTGAATTTTGTCTATTTGATTCACTTTTCAGTGTTTTCTCCATTTCTTTGACTTTTTTATTATGGCAATTTGAACTCTACTTGATAGTAAGATACAATCTGCCATATCTTTGTAGTTGCGTATTGAGGAGTTGGTCTCGTCTTATGATTTCATATTCCCTTGAGATCTCAAGATTCTGGGACTTATTTTGCTGCTTTGAATTTCCTATTTTTGAAAAAAAAAAAAACAAAACATCCGTAGTGGTCACTTAGAGAGTTGAACTACTTTTAACTTTCCATCAGGTGACCCTGTTCTGTGTTTAGATTTGTAACTTATGTAGGGCTAGAGACCTGATCCTTGAGATGCTCAGTCAGAGACTGTGGGGCCTGCAGTCATCTAGCCTCTGGTGTGGGTGCTCTGGCTGGGGCATGTGAGCTCATGTTGTGACACCCTGACACCCACTTCTCTCAATTTTGTCCTGAGACTCTGCCCTATGCACACTGTCCCTGAGCTTCAGGAGGGTGGGACCAGTACTGAGGGGGAGTGTGGATGCATCCAGCACTGTCTCCTTTTTCCCCACTGGGGACCTTGTTAACTGGGAGCTCCTAGTCAGAGCTGTGAGCCCCTCACTGTTAGCTCTTCCTGCCCAGGGTCACGTGCCTGGTTGAGTGACCACCACAGTGTGTGCTGCAGCCTCCCCCACCCTGATCACAGCCTCCAGGTGTCTTCTCTGCCTAACTCTTGTTCAGTGAAGCATGACTCTCCTCTGTGTCCCTTTTGGCGCTATCTGCCTGGTGACTGCTGTACGAGAGTGTCCAGTTTTGTCCCAAGCCTTGTGTTCTCTGGGTGTCCTGTCCACTCATTCACATTGATTATCTTTTGTGCAATGAAACGGATTTCCTCAGACACCTTCTTAGTCCCCCAAGAACTCTTTTGAAATGGACGTTCTTGGGTACATCCCAATCTGCTGCATCAGGCCTGGGGTAGGGTCCCTGCATTTTGCAATTACAAGCCCTCCTGGAAATTGTGATGCTGAAGTTGAGAACCATGGAGTTAGAGTTTTTTATGGAAGGTCCTGCTATCAGGTACACCAGTGAATGAGGGAGCATCTTTGACATTATTTCTGGACCACAGCTCATGGTTGGAAGATCGTTCCAAGATTCAGAATTGTCACTGTTAATCCTTCATGTCAGCTGTCTGCTCATCAGACACCTTTTCTCAGCCTGCCTGAGCCTTCCCCAGTAATGGTGTGTATTCCCTGATATGACTGTGTCTCTCACCCTTTCTAACTCCCATGTCTGTGTTCACAGAGAGGTTCCGTGTGCTTGGCACCCCAGACCCCATAGTGGCTGAGCTGGGCAAGGACGCCACACTGCCCTGCTCCCTGGACCCAGTCATGAGTGCAGAGAACATGGAGTTGAGGTGGTTCCGGTCATATTTCTGGGAGTCAGTGTTCACCTATGAAGACCAACAGAAGCGAGATGAGGAGCTGATGGCCCAGTACACAGGGTGGACCTCGCTGGTGGGGACATTCCTCAGCAAGGGGGTGGCCGCTGTGCGCATCCACAGGGTCCGGGCTTCTGACAACGGGCTGTACACCTGCTTCTTCAGCAACGGAGTCTTCCATGGGCAAGCCAGCTTGCAGCTGCAGGTGGCAGGTTGGTGACATGTTAAATATCTCAGAGTCCTGGAGTGCTGGAATTGGGGAGAAAATAAGGACAATGGTATTTAGTTTTTCATTTCATTTATGAGTAAGAAAAGGCTTATTAATTTGTGTTTTATGAAATGTAAATATACAGGGTACCTACCACACGTCTGGCTCTGTTCCAAACACTTGGATACAAAAGGCAATCTAATAAAGGTCTTCACTCTGTGAGTTTATATTTGTAGTGGGAGAGAGAGTAATCATAATGAATAATGAGGGAATAAATGACATTTTGAAGTGAGAAGGGATGAGGACAGGAAGCTAAATGGAGCAGGGAGATGGGTAAGCTGGGGTTGAGGGGAGGTTACAGTAATAAATAGTAGCTCAGGCTGGTGCGAGGGGAGCAAAGACTCCAGGGAAGTGGGAATACAGCTGAGTAGATATCTGATGTGTGGGTGTTTCTCCCCAGTTTTATTGACAGACAATTACTATGTATCATATGTAATGTGAGGCATACAGCATAATGACTAATTTATATATAGAGTCAATTGATGGCCACAATAGGTTAAATCACATCTGTCCGCTATCATAGGTTTAATAAAAAGAAAGAAAAAGAAGCAAAAAAGGGAAAACTTCCTCATTAAGAAAAAAATTCTTTGGAGTTTGTTCTTTAACAACTTCCCTACACATCACACAGCAATGTTGGCTACAGGCATGTTGTGCATTACATGGAAGAGAATTTCTATGTGGCAGCACAGCCTGTGTGAATGACCTGGGGGAGCATGTGTTTGGTGTGTGATCTGCTCACACGGAGTCCTCATGGCTGGTGGGAGAGAGTGAGGAACAGGGTGTTGTGAGGTGACAAGACTCTCATAAAAAGATGGTGTAAGTACATGGTGGAGAGATTGAGGGTGGCTGATGAATGCTCCCAAAGGTAATCATAAAAACCTCCATATGATGTAGATATTTGAGCTGGGATGTCATTTTATCTAACAGGTTCTATGAAGCCCCTCAGACCAGATGCAGAAAGGACGATGGAGTCCACAGAGCCTAGTGATTGTGGACAACAGCTGTTAGATTGGGTGTTGGGCCTTGAGGGCACAGGTTTAAAAGTGTGAGCACTGCAGAGAGAAGAGGCTGGGGTGGAGTCACAGATGAGGAGTCCTGGTGCAAATATTGTGGTGTTTGTATGTGGGACTGTTGGAGATTTTCAGCACAGCATTGCTTAGCATGATGGCTCTGGCAGCAGCGGGGAGGACAAGGGCAAGGACAGTATCTGGAGTTGTGGCTGCAGTTACGGGGTGGAGAGGGGGGCTGTTTCACACAGTGGTGGTGGGTGCATGGGAGGTGCCATCAGTGAGGTTTAGAAATAAACTTTTGAATGAGGAGAGTAATCCAATTGAATGAGGAGAATTGGGTCACAGAATTTAAAGTGGAAGAAAGGATTGCAGAGGCTTCCCAGGCTTTGTAGATTGTTCTTGTTATTTAATATCAGGAACATTGATAATGTGTATCAGTTGCCTGTCACCATAGTGCTGCTGTGTAACAAAGAACCACAGAAAAAATCTCTCAGTGGCCTGTAGTAATGGACTTGTATTCACATGGGCTGGTTAGGACTTCAGCTAACCTGATTGGACTTAACTACTCTCCACTGAACTTCCTCCTACATTTTTTGGTCAGATGAAAATGTCACCATGTGGACCTTGTCTGGCTTGTTACATGAGTGGTCAAGGGTTCTGGCTGAGGGAGGCCAGCTTCAGGGGAAAGGCTGGTGACAGGCCCTGCTCCCCCTGTGCTATGATGTCCTTCTATGGAGGTGGCAGAGGGAAGACCCATGGAGCCAGCACTTGAAACCTCTGCTGAGTCACATGAGTTGATCCTCTCATTAGACACATGAAGTCACATGACTGATCCCAGAGTCAGAGTGTGATTAAAATATACATGGCAGCGTGTTAGCCATTAAGAACATTTTTATTACTAATTTACCTCAGATGAGACAACAGCATGAGTTCAGATATAGAATTTAGGGTGTGAAGAACATGTGAGAAATCCTGGCAGATGTAACCCACAGGGATGGGGTTATCAGGGAGCAAGGGTGGAGGCTGGTGAGGTGATATCTGAAAGTGATGTATGAGGAAACACAGAAGCTGAGGGAGAAGAAGCCCTGGGAGAGGGTGTGAGATAAGACAGGGCTTTAAGGACTGGACCCTGGGACTGTGCTGCCTTCAAGGAGCAGGTTCAGGGAGAAAAGTCAGGAAAGGGGCTCAGCAGTGACCCAAGTTACACCACAACAAGCCACCCTCAGAGGGAAGTGACCAATTCAAGATGGAGGTGGTTTCAAGACAAGGTCAGGTGAGTCCTGACTGAAGGGAGACTGGGTGAGAGGACCTCGGAGACTGGGGTTGACAAATGGGAAACTTTTATTGAATCACCCAGAACAGAATGGACTAGAAGGAGAAGCTGCACTATGGAGGCTGAGATGTTGGTGAGAAATGAGAAAATACAGCTGTTTATGGATTATAAGGTGTACTCTTCTAACAAGAAAAGAATTCTACAAAGATTTGAACATGTTTATATAAATATAAAAATAATAGGTAGAAAGGGAGAGATGAATATGTCAGGTCATCTTCTTGCTCCCCCAAGGGTGGTCTCCCCCAGAATGCACCCCAGGAGCAGGAGCAGCAGAAAGGGCAAGATTGCCAGGAAAGCGGGCTTCCTGGCAATGCACCTTGACAGCCCACAGAATGCACCTTGACAGCTGCCCCTGGAGGTGTGCACAGGGGGGCCCTGCCCCACCTGGCTCTCATCTCCCTCTGCAGGTATGGGCTCTGTCCCCCAAGTGCACATCTCAGGGCCAGAGGAGGACAGGGTGTGTGTGGTGTGCACAGTCTCGGGCTGGTTCCCAGAGCCCCATGTGCAGTGGAGACACCCCCGTGGGGAGCAGTTCCTGGAGTTCTCCAAGGTCTACACCCAGGACACTGAGTGGCTGTTCAGTGTGGAGGCTGCTCTGGTGGTGAGAGACAGCTCTGCGGGGAGCGTGACCTGCTCCATCCTCAACCCTGTCCTGGGCCAGGAGAAGGCCATGGCCAATGTTATCCCAGGTCAGCACTGCTCCCCATGCCCTGCAGGGCCAGAGGGAGGGGCCGGCACCCCCAGGGGTGCTGGGCTGGGCTGTCCTGGGCTGTGTCGTGATGGGGTCTGTGTGGTGTTTCTGTCTGCAGAGTCCTTCTTTCCTGGGGCCTCTCCCTGGAAGCCAGCTTTCCTTGTGAGCCTGCCCTTGCTGCTGCTCCTGCTCCTGGGGGCTGCCTGCTGCACCCAGAAAGAATATTCCACACTGATGCAGGAGCTGCAGGAACAGAGGAATCTATATCAGGCTAAGGAGGAGGACCTACAGACAAAGGAGGGGTCCCTGAAAGACACAGGTAAGGCAGGACAGGGGCCAAGCTGGTGAGTGTGGCAATGGATGCTGAGAGGGACAAGCTGACACCAGAGCCAGAGCCCAGGGTCCCTCTGCAGGGAGATCAGAGCAGGTGCTGAGTCCCAGAGGGGACAGTAGAGTTGGAGGCTCATGTTGGTTTGAAGATGTAACTACCAGGACAGAGAGATATTCATTTTTGTGTTTTCTCTAGGCACGAATTTTGTTCTTAGCGACACTTTATGCTTATATTTTTAATTCTCTTTCAGATGAACTCCAGGCCATTCTAGGTAAGCTCTGTTCTCCCTCCTGAACTCTCTGTGTCCCCTTCATGGGAAACATTCTAGTTCTTAGCTCACCTGTGTCCTGTGTGGTCTTTCAGACCAGAGGAAGGCAGCTTACCTGGCTGGTGAGTGATGCTCCACGAGTCCTGTGTCCCTGTCCCCTGTGCCCAAGGGTCCCTCCCCTTGGTTGTCTCAGCACAGACATGTGGACCCTTCCCTGAGGTGGGAGTGGGAGCTAGTGGGAGGCAGGAACCTGCTCCATGGGCTCTCCAGATCTGGGTGCTGTTTTCCCCCCATTCTTGGGATCCTGGTGGGTGGTGACCCTTAGAGTCTCGTCCAACCTGGGCTCATTCCAGCCCTGACTTTCCCACCATGGTGCTGACTTTCTCATCCTCAATGCATCTCATTCTTGGTCAGCACCTAGAAGTAAAGAAGCTGCTTTGGGATTTTATAAGTAAATGGACTCTTGAAGTTTAGGAGTGTGACATCCTCCTGCCCTTTTTCCCCAAACAACACCAAGGAATAGTCTGTTCTCTCTGCTCCTGAAGATGCTGATCAGCAGTGCTGGGAGAGGATGGGGTGACCTTGCATGGGAGGGATTACGGGAATTTCCTTCTCCCAGAGAGTGTTTATCACTAGAAATACTGCATTGGAGGAAGATGGGCCATTTCTACTCTGGAGCTGGTGTGATGTCCATGTTGTGTTTTTATTTCATCTTCCCATTAATTTCCAAGGAAATACTGAATGTAATAATTATGGAATAATATGTACGTTAAAAAATATCTTCCCATCTACTGTTTTTGATCCTGTGTAGCAACAGTGAGTAGCAGGTAAAGCAGGAGCTTTGAAGGCTGTGGGGCCCAGAGCTGCTCAGTGACTTGCCAAAGCCCCACAGCAGCAGCAGGCAGGGCTGGGTCAGTCTGTCCTGCAGGCTCCTGACCCAAGCCAGGGATTTCCCACCACTCCCTGCTGTCTGCACAGGGCAGGAGGTCATGACCTCTCAGCCTCTCCCTTCCACCCCCAGTGAGTCTCACCTGCAGAACAGGGGGAGACCAGGGCCCCTGGATCACAAGAGCAGCCAGCTTTGCTGAGGTCTCACCTGTGTGTTCCCTTTCAGCCTGGAGGAAGGCCCAGCTGTATGCAGGTGAGTGGCCCTGAGGGGCCTGGGTCACCCTCCCAGCCTCCCCTCTGCCCCTTCTCTATCATGGACCCCCACCATTAAGGACCTGGGGTCCCTGGTCTTCCCTCACTCTGTAGCCTCCATCTGAGAACTGCAGGGCCCCTCTTGTGAGCACAGACCTGCCTCCACCTGCCCTGTCCTCCCTGCAAGTCATGTGGGGTCTCTGACCCCTAACCACTTGGTCCTTTCTTATGGGTGAGAACAGTGGGGATCAGTGTGAGGAAAGGCTGCAGCTGGGCAAGTGTGTGGGTTAGGATTTTATGATCTCTCGAAAATTCCAGACATCCTACTTCCTGCTTCAGAGTCAGGTCTTGCTAAGGGGTCCTGGGTTATGGATCCTTCTGGATCCCAAATCCCAGTCCTATTTTGGATCTAGTTTTTTTTTCCTGTTTCCTGTTGATTCTCTGTCTTCTCATGCCTGCCCTGATTCAGGGCCAAGCTGGATTTTTCTACTAATCCCTTGTGGGTGGTGAGGAATCAGTTGTTTAGAGCAGGTGTTTTGAGTCTGGGCCAGAGCTTCTGGGGTGTTTATGACTCTTAGGCAGGGTCCTGTGAAATGTCTGAAATAACATGTAAAATCCTGTGTGTGTGTATGTGTGAATGTGTTGTGTGTCTATGTGTGTGTGCATATTTTTTTGTGTCTTTGTAACAAGATTAACAATGTATGATTTTTTGCCATTGTCTTTTTAAGGAGAATTTTGTCTGACAGTCTCATGGTCTCTGTTAGGTAGGGTTGTTTTTTTTTTTTTTTTTTTTTCTTTTTAAGAGGTAACTATATAGACTGGAAAAGAACAAACATAAAATGGTTATAATCCATTTCCAATGAACAGGAGGGAAATTTGAAAGAAAAGTCTGGATGGAGATAGAGAAGGGAAGGAAGGAGAGGGGTGTGTGGGAGAAGAGCCTTCTAGAGGTTTTGGGCACAGTCACTAGTTTGAATCTGTGCTGTGCAGACACTGTGCAAGGCTTGGGAATGAAACACAGTGGGTCTTTGGAAGTACTTCAGATAAAGTCACACTTTAAAAACCATTATTGAGGCAATCATTTAATTGCGGTTTCTCTCACATGACACCCCCACCCTGTGTCCCCAGGGCAGGGTCTGCACAGGGTCCTGCAGGCACAGTCAGGGATGCTGGTGAAGTGATATCTGAGGCTCCTGAGCCTGAGTCAGATGCCCTTTCCCTGCTCAGGGTCTTGTTTCTGGTCCTGGACACAGAGCCTGAGTCACAGAGAGGGGGATTGTGGGGGAGGGGCATGGCCCAGGAGTGTAAGGACCCTCCTGAGAGTCTCCTTGGTTCTCCTGGAGACGCATTTCCACACAGTGAGGATCATAGATTTGTCTTTACTATCACTCCAGCCTCTGCTGAGTTCATGTCTCATACATTTTAACATAAACTTCCCTTTGGCATGCAAAAAGAATGATGTGTTTGAATGAAACACCATGAACACAGTAGAATCAGCATTTTGATACTGACAGAGTCACAGATGGATACATGTGTGATCTCATATTATTTGTAAAATTTAACAAATTTTTTTTACTTAAAGTTTTGCTACAGGGCCTCCCCGGTGGCGCAGCGGTTGAGTGCTGGGTTGCGAAGCTGCCCGCGGCCTCTGCGGCGCCGGTTCAATCCCTGGCTGCTCCCCGGCCACCAGAGGAGGGTCCCACATGGCGCGCAGACCTCTCCTGCCTCCCGCTGCTCCCCTCAGCAGTGCACTTTGGTCCTTCTGCCTGCTCTGCTCCCCGCTCTGGCTCTGGTGAATTCTCTCACCCTCCCGCGCTTCTGACTGTACCCAGTGCATGTATAAACAAAACAAACAAACAAACCAGCAAACAAATAAATAAAGCATGCCTCTATTAAAAAAAAATAATAAAATAAAATAAAGTTTTGCTACAAAAATTAACTGACTAGTGCAGTGCAGTGCACATACAGTCCTGGGCGCGCTGTGTCTCACATTAAATGCCACTTTGATTTTCTCTTTTTGTTCCTGCTGCTCCTGTTCTCCTCCACGCCCTCTTTTTCATTGTTGTATGAAGAAGTGTGGTGCAGAGCATTAGAGCTGGATGTCAACTCATGTCTCAGCAAAAACAAGTAAATTTAAAATCTCCATTTTTTACAAAGAGGTCACATATATGCCACCCAATCATTGCGTGTGATCTTGTTTCTTTTTTTTTTTTAAGATTTATTTATTTATTTATACATACAAGAGGTGGGTACAGGCCAGAGATGGGGGGGTTGAGAGGTCTCACCAGAGACAGAGTGGAGAATAGAACAAGGCAATTTGACTGAAATACACTGCTGAGGGGAGCAGTGGGCGAGACAGGAGAGTTCTGCTGTGCCATGTGGGTAGCTTCCTGGCCGGGGATTGAACTCGTGCTGTAGAGGCTGTGGATTGCTTTATAGTGCGGTGCTTAACCCCTTGTGCCACCAGGAGGCCCTGATCTTGTTTCTTATCCAATCTTTTTCTTAGAATCCTTTTCTCAGAAAAGGATCAGAAACGACCAGACAAGTCTGGGAGGAAAAGAGCAAAATCAAAATCAAGGTAAAAGCTGCCATTGTTACCTCCCCATGGGCCTCTCACCCACATCTGTGTCACCCAGCCCACGACCAAAAGGCAAGCGCAGTTTCTTCATGTGTCTCTATGCTCCATGTGCCTCCTCCAGGTCTCCTTCTGGCTCTCCATCCTGCTTCCTTCCTTTGCAGTTTCCTCTGCAGCTGCTTCTCCCTGCTCAAGTCCACCCTCCCTGGGGTGGGACAGGAAACCTGGAACCTCCTTTTTTCCTGGGGACCACCCTATTACACTCTGAGTAAGCTTGTGCGGGTGTGGCTGGTGTCACACATTTATACACTGTGTGCACAAGAAGATGTTGTTCCTTATTCCTATAAATGTGGATCCTGAGTTCTCTCCCCCACTCTCTCCACAAACAGTTGGGAAACTCAGGCCTCAGAGTCTTGCTGTATCTGACCTGAGTGTTGAGGAATGACCTGCTTCCTCCTTCCCAGGCAGGTATGGGGTGGGAGATGACATGGCCTTGGGACACTAGGGGGTGAAGGGGCCTGTGCTCCCCTTTCAGTCATTTCAGGGGCTCCCATGTGGCCACCGGTCTATGATCCTGTGTGGCACATGCTGAGGGGGACAGGGCACATCCCATCTGGTCATTAGAGCTTGTGGGTGACCCTATCTCTACAGCAGTCAGGGTCTGGGTCTGTCTCTGGTCAGCAAATTGATAAACCTTCTGGGTCCCTCCTCCTGTCCCACGTCCTTGTCCACCTCTCCTTACCCATCGTTCCCTCACTCCCTGCTCTACAGGCCCCTCTCTCTCCCTCTATCTCCCCCCAGAGCAGGTGACACTCATGGGACTTCATCCCATGGGGTCCTGGTACTCCCTACAGACCCTCCCCTGCCAGGGCCTGCTCAGGCTGCCTGGGCCCCCACATGGGGCATCAGAGCTCCAGCTGCTGCTGACACGTCCCCACACCCTGAGCAGCTTCACCCACACAGTTTATCATCTCACATGCCTGCAGGGCAGACATCTGTGACCTC